TTGTTCCACAAGAGTTGGTGGTCTCGATATTGATATGGTGGGAACCGATGTTGATCAGCAGTCCACCGTGCCTTCTCATGCTCTGCACACCTGTCCAACCCTGCTGGGCGTCGTCCGGGACTTGACCGTGGCCTGGATGTCGTGAAGGTAGGGAACTTGCAACCGTCTTGCAACGACCAACCACTTTCAAGCAGGGCATCAACGTGGACCTTGGCATTCAGCTCCACCGACCCCGCGCTACCCCAACGAGTCTCCTCGGGAGCGGTCGCCTTTGCTCCCTCCCCTGAGTTCAGTTCCCAGGAAACCCAGTATAGTCGCGGCCGGTGACAAAGTGTAATGCCGACGGAGTCAATGAAGTAGGGTTGCAGCTCCACTGTGCGACTCATGACCTCTCGGTCCTCATCAGACATCGATGCCACTGACTCCATGACCAAGTGTGTTTGTGCCCAGGGGAAGTATTCCTCAAACAGAGCTCTGATGCGAGGAACTTCTTGAAACAAGCTACTACGCAAGTCCAGCAAAGCCCCCTTCCTTCCTGCATTCAAGCCACTGACCCCCTGGCACGGAGGTCCTGCACCTATCAGCACCAACCCTACTGACGGGTATCGAAGACTGAGGTCGCGGACCAAAGGGCCATCAACTGTCTGGACATCATTATGAAACATGGCGACTCCACGACACGCTTTGCTGTTTCTTCTTTCTCTACTCTCAAGTGTCCAGCAACTGGGATCCCAAAGGCATCAACGGCCAAACGAAGCGCACCAAGCCCGTCAAACAAGCCCACTGTCAGCACCTGTATGGTCTGAATCTCTTCCGGGATGTCTCCCTTTACTTCTGCGTCCAACGCCGCCACGCCATAACCCGTGAGTCCTTCACTCACACAGAAGCCACCTCCTGCTGTAGACGCATCGCTACAGGTGACATGTTCTCCCAGAGGTAGCTTAAAACTCATCTGCGCCAAGGGACACAACAGGATGAATCTCAACAGCTCTCTCATGACCTGCTTTGGCAATGGCATACGCACAACTGTGGGCAGACGCTTCACGCGCTCCATAAACCTCCAAACCTCATTGAGCGCGCGCAACAATGGACGACGAAACATACAGAAGTACACGAAGCCACCACACACTACCTGCAACTCCTTTAGGGTACAGTGTCTCCGTTGCACGAGACAGAGGCCCAGAAACACGTAGAGGAGAACCTTCTCGAGGCGTGGCATGGCAAAACCTAGCTTGCCATCAACACGCTCAGTCGACTTCTTGGGGTGGCGAGGCAATCCCAAACGGGAGTACTCCTCCCTCGACGCCTGAACTGTCTGAGCCACTGTGCCTTGGATAAGCTCCGCCTGTTCTCGATTGTAGCGCTCCAGCAAGTCAAAATTGTCAAGGTAGACACGAAACAAAGAAGATGATGAAGTTCCTACTCTATCACGTCTCATCTCTGTCTCACCTCCCAGACCATGCGGGGTTGACTGCTGACTCCGCTTTACCACGTTCCGGTGGATACGCTGTGCGATCGACACACTGTTGATAAAACCCATAGGTAGTACCCTGGAAACCAAGACACAGCGCTTGCCTTTCCACTGTTGCGGAATCAAATCCTCTTCGACTTCTTTGTTGAATCCTAAGAACCTCTTCCATTCCACTGGAACCTAGAACAAGTAGAAGAAGCAACGAATATCTTCTGCACTCATCACCGCTACCTCCCCCTCATCTAACAAGAAGCTTTGGAAGGAAGCAATTGTGACGGGAGCGTGCATACTTCTCCCACCAAAGGTTCACATAGTTTGTTGAAGGGGATGAGATTCATGATGAGTCTTTGGGTTTCCAGCAAACCCACGAATTCACCCTTTCCGACCGCAAACAACCCGTTCAGCAAGGGCTCCTGGCCGACGTGGTAGAGCTTCTCCACGGGCCATACTTCGCAGATGCCACGATCCACCAAGCCTCTGCTGAGCGCCGACCAGTCATCTCCAACCATCACTTTCGGGGGGCGAGTACGAACCATGGTGTCCACCGGGATCAAAAAGTCAGTCCTCCAAATGCCTAATGTAGTGGAGAGTACCCTCAGTGCAGAAATCGACCAACCTAAGCTGACCAACCGTGAGTTGCGAACCGCTTCCCAACACAAGGTCTGAGCAAGCCGAATCTCCTCCCCAGCATAGGTTACCCCCCTCTTCCTGAAGAACGATTCGAAGTCCACCGGGTCCATAGTCCGATCCCACACGTCGAATCTCTCACACAGCATGCTAAGGTTTTCCGTCAGTCCCACGGGGCAACGGGACGGTACTGGCCCATGCCCGCGTCCGATGGCCAAGTGATTGAGGCCGAATATACCATCTGCTCACACGCCTTGCCAGACCCTTCATTGCGACAACGGGGCAACGGAAGTGGAAAAATACATTCATTGGGTAAACATAGGTCTTCCATTGCCGTGGACTGCGTGCGCTCTTCGTCAAGTTTCTCGAGAAAAACCCGCGCCGCATTCATGGCCTGCTGACTCACGTCCCAAATCCGGAGGACTCACCTCCTTGCCTGCTTCGGATGCCTCGTGAGTCGTCACCAGGGAAGCCTTCTCTGGTCCGACCAGTTCGAGCCTTCTTGCAACGTCGCTCTGAACTCCTCTCGCGATCTGCTCCAAACTCTTGATCCTCTGTGACGCCACATCTAACGCGGCTGCTGGCCGACCTCTGAGCATCAGGTCCACCGCGAGGCACCAATGTTGCATCTCCCGTCCCATGACCGGCCCTACCTGGCTCTGTAGGTGTTGCCGGTAGTATTGGCTTGCCACTGGTGGCAGGCTTCCCTCGCTGCTGGAGCTCAGGAATCGTTCGGCGGTCATCAAGCTCTGTCTCATGTCTTGTAGCACGCCGCAAGACAATGCTCCTGGAACCCTCTTCCAGATCTGAAGCACCCTTCTCTCTGCCTCGAATAGTTCGCTGGAACCGATCAGCTCTTCGGCCAAACTGGAGGAAGTCGTCGAACTGTCGCTGTCCGGCTCCTCTCTCCCTCTGCTCCGGGAGCGGCTCCCTTTCTTCCTCCTCTTGCCTCTTCTGATCTTCCTGGCCTTGCGCATCAGCACCTTCCGGGTTTGGGGGTCCGGATCGACTCCTGTACGGGCGAAGATGTCCTTCAGCGGTACCTCCAGACACGGCCTGATCTTCTCCTTTTCTTTCTTCTTGACCTTCTTCTTCGACACCCTCTTCTCCTTTTCTCCCTCCGCTGCGGGAGCGTTTGCGCCTTGTGGGGAGTGCTCCTCGGCATTCACGCCCTCCACCACACGCTTCATCTCTGTTCTCAACTTGGCCAACTGATCGAGTTCGTCCATCATCCCAAGGCCTCGACCCTTCACCTCCTCCAGATTGGTCCACCAGCCCTCTGGCGGCCCCTCTTGGCACATCAGGCGCTCTCCATGCAGCAGGTCGTTGCTCCACACCAGGTTCTTGCAGGGCTGACCACATAGATGAACCTCCATGTCTCTGCATCGACCACCCACTGCTTTCAACAAACTCTCTGTTTGTGTACCTGCCACACGAACCCGCAGCTTTCGATCTCCGCCGCGAAAGTTCAGGCCTGACACCACGCCTGCGATCACACAAGGGGCTTCCCAATATCTGCCTTCTACCACCACTCTGTCCAGGTTCCCTATCTCCTCCATTGTAAGTTCCGGGATGGACCTCCACATCCCACTTGGCTCTTCGGCTCCTCTCTCTTCCTCTCTCGCTTCTCATCACCTCCTCTGGACTTCCACGTCGACGAACTGGGGGCCTCACCCGAGCCCCTGGCCTTCTGAGTACCTTGCAGGCCATCACCGTCTCCCCTGCTCTCGATCGTACTCGTTCCAGAGCCTGTAGTTGAGGTTCTTCTCACGCTTTGTTCTGCCCTTTGACTCGGTCGGTTGATGACCACGGTTCCGACCTGGCCAATATCGGTAGCCTTGGGAGTCTTCAAACTTGGGAAAGGCTTGATACTCTGCCCAACCCGCGATGCCCGGGGTGGATGGTCTGGCTTTTGAGGCTTCTTGCAGGACCTTGTCTCGCTCTTTCCTCTCTCCCTCACAGTCCTCTCACGGGAGTTGGTCCGCGAGGTTGGAGGGGGCGCCGCCCGCCTGCATGGCCGCTGGGTCGAAATGGGAAGGCCTTGGAGCGGGGGCTCGGGACTGGTCGCTCTTCGCCTGGGAAGCACGGGCCTGCTCGGTGGATGCACTAGCTGTACCTTGATGTTCAGGAACTCGCTCAGGTGTTCGAGGTTTCTTGGAGTCTCTTGCAACCTCGACGTGGCTACGGGAGCGTCTCCGTCTCCCCCTGCTGGTGCTTCGGTCCTTCTTGGCCGATTTCTTCTCTGGACCTCTTCCTCCGTTCACTGGGGCTCTTTGTAAGGGCGTCTCCGGGAGCGTTGTTTTCTACTCCCTCTCGAATTCCACTGGCTGTTGAGGTCTCCTCCCCGGGCTGTTCGCTGGCGGCTGACTCTTCCTTATCCTCCTCACTTCGCTCTCCTTTTACTTCGGGCTTCACCTGGCTGGGCTTGGACTTGTCCTCCCTCTTGGTCTTGATCTCGGTAGGTCGTGAAGGCGTGGCAGAACCCTCGCGACCCTCAGTGAAAGCCGGCGCCGAAAAGGTAGCCCTTCCGACACCTTCTCGAGATCTGCCCCCCGCCTCGTCGAGCAGCTCGAGATAGACACCTCGGAGTTTGCTCACACAAGAACGTGAGAACTCCTCGCCCAGCTTCTCGTTGTATACGAGCAGCAAAAGTCTCTGACAGGTCAGGCACAATTGGCACCTGCGCGTGCGCCAATTATGCACCTCACCCATCAGATGACCAGCTGAAGCCGAGAATCTGCGGAACACGAGTGCGGGTTTCGTCTTTAAATACGAAAACGTAAGTCATATTAATATTCAACAAAATGAACTCAGTCCAGGAATTTGTATGTTCACTCTCTCTCTCTCTCTCTCTGAAATCATCGTGCCGCGCCCAACTTTTCTATGCGCTTGATGAAGCGAATCAAACAACCCGGCACGCAGCAAGCCCGTAAGCTAGTTGCGCCACTTGCACCGCTTGCTTCTCTCTGCACGGTCTAGCTGATGGGTCTCTCGTTTTGTCCATGGTGAGCGTGGCTGCCTCTTTCATCCAAATGTCTGCTTCGATACATGTACGGACGAGGGACTTGACGACTTTCCTTGAGTTTTCAAGAGCGGCCCTCAGCAAACCAAACTTCGGTCCACGTATAAACATGCCATTCCTGGAGTCTACGAAGAAGGTCTCGCTTTCTGGTAAGAACTTTTGAAGAAAGGCTTTGGGAGGCACTGCGTCCACAGCGGCCTCTGAGGCCCAACCAGATTCGCCTGCCCGGAATTCAGGGGTGAAAACTTGCAGTGTTGTTTCAGCCAAGACTGTCATATGCTCATGCAGTTGGCGTTGGTTTCGCAAGCAGTTCTGATCGAACATTTGTGGGTGACCTGGGTGATGCATACCGCTTTGCCGTGCCAAGGCGCACCCTATCCCCTCCAAATAGACAGACACGATAAATTGTGTTTTGTTGCCATCAAATATAAAATTATGCCAGCATACACCCCAAACAGTTTCAGCATTGTTGTTCAACTCCTTGAATTCCAATGTTGGTGGTGACGTTTGTATCGGGAATGTTGTTGTTGAAATTCACCTCATCCCCATGGACCCCGTAGCGTGTACTCTCAAGGTAGAGTGGAAAGGGCGCTTAGGGGTTCTACAGGGTTAGCGCTAGGATAGCTAGGAAATCTGTGCTGATCCTGTAAAATACAGGTTATCAGCCGTAGGCTAACTAGAGTAGAGCTATGGACCCGATGGGCGATGACGTAAGCGCTGGACCCTGCTCGGATGGATGCAAACATCAGACGTCTTCGTGATGTCAGGAGCTCCTCCGCAACTGATGATGAGATTCGTGGACCTCCACAAGGTAGGGTTCGTGTTGTTGGCGATCCTGAAATTATCGATGTTCTTGGAAGAGTATGTCACTATCTTGGTCCTGCTTTGCTGGTGATACATGACGACCGCGGCCTAGTGCGGGCTCTTGAGTTCGTCGGTGTGGGAGCCGATCAGGGCTATATGAACGAAGTTTGGCACTTGGATGTCATGACTGGCAAGTACAAGTACAGAGACCTCTCGCGACTCCAGAGGACTCGGATCACACTCCGCCAAGATCGTGATCCAGCAACAGGTGGCTGATACGCGCACAGAAGTGTCGAATCAGGCCTCAGACTGTGGTTGCTGGATGCGCAGTGTAATCCAGGTATGGCTCATGCTGTTTGGATCTGTTTGGAGGCAGCCAAGCCAAATACCACTTGTGCCACTTGCACACGTTGCATCTGCCTTGTTGGCATCGGAACCTTCCACTTTCTCCCTGGCTCTGGATGGAGACGAATTGCAGCAGCAGCCTTCTTCATCCAATCCTCTGGGAGGGGACATGCTGCAAGCAAGGGCTTGACGAATGGCTTTGGATTTTCAACGACCTGCTTCAAAAGGCCGTACTTGGGACCGCGGGCAAAAGTGCCAGCCGCAGGTTGACAAGTAAGGTCTCACTGTTGGGATTGAATGCGGCAAGAAATGAAGGTGGAGGCGTCTCATCCGGACCTTTCTCTGAAGGCCACTCTCTACCCGGGTGAAACTCCTCCAGATTGCCCTGGCTTATCCACTCTCTTCCGTAATACACCTGCGAGTCCGCGCATTGAATTCGATGGGCTGGGACCCCTTGCATACCTTCCAGGACACGGTACTTCCACGCTCCTGCTTCGACATGGTACTGCCAAACCTCTTTGATATAATTGCTGTTCTTCTTGCCTCCTTCAACTCCAACGAATTCCAGGGTACGCACCACCCCACGGTTGTCGAAGCAAACAACCAAGGCCGGACCCAAGTAGTGGAAATAGTTTCCATAACGATCCACAGTCTCGGGATCGCCGACGATCTTCACACTACACTGGGGCTTTCCAAGGCGTTGATCATCACCCACAGATGAGGCAGCAATGTTTGCGAGGTTGCACGGCCCTTCATTCAAAGCCTCCGGAGATAGAGCGTTGGTTTGTCCAGCTTGCGCCTCCAGCTGGCTGAACAAGTCCATGTAGTTCGCCATTGCTACAAAATGGCTCTAAGGTAGGCTAAGGCTATGTGCACCAATGCATTGCACAATCCTGGGTCAGAAGCCAAACTGCTATGAAGGTTTCGATCAGCTCAAATGCGAAAAGCCGCAAAGCACATGATGGAATTGAAAAGTGGACTGCTGAGTTTGAGGAATTGGTGTCTGGCAAATAGTGCCATTTGGTCAGTGTTGGGCGGTTTTGTCAACCTCCAGAAAACTGCCGGCCGCTTTTGTCCCAGGCAGGCTTTTGGCTCAAACACAGCCTGCTTTGCAGGACCAGGTAAGGCCATGCATTGGGCATGTTCTGCTAGGACAATTGGTCAACATTTGGTTCAGAAGCTTTTGGCTAATGATCCTAAAGGTTTCGTGACAGTAATTGAGAGGTTTGGGTAGCTGGACTTAGTTCTTGAGCATTATCATGCTTTGCGATACATGTGTGACCCTGTGACCTGAACAATCTCCAGGATCTTGCGGTACAAATGAAGACCTTGACCAATCTGAGTAAGCTGATGCCCTTGCTTTAGGAACGAAATGTGAGGCTCATATGTACAAAGCACTCAGCCTCGCCCACCACCACCTTTTCCTTTTCCTTTGCCCTTGCCTTTACCTTTGCCTTTGCCCTTGCCCTTCTTCTTGGGGGCTTCCTCTCCTTCCTGGGGAGTCTTTTTGACTTTGACTTCTCTGCCATCAATCTCCTGTGCTCTGAAAAGATACTTCATGGTCACCAGCTTGTCCAGGTTCAAACGTGTTTGGTCAACATGTCTGATGAGGCATAGAGAATGGTGTCAGATTCCAAATCCAAGCTACAAAGAATAAAGTCATGTGATGAGACATCCCAATAAATGCCTGAACTAATGCCCTATATTTACTCTTCTACGAAGGTTGATGTGTCAGCAACCTTGGTGCGACAAATAATTATATAATTATATACTAGATAATTGCACAGAAAAATGAGCTTGAAACATTCTGGCACAAAGTAAAAAAGCATCCAAACAACTTGAACAACAATCCCAACAGTGACGATATCGGCGTCAATTGTCTTTTGTTCAACTCATTAAACACAAATCTAAAAAAAAAAAGAAATCCTGTTTAACACCATGCCAAGGCCATTCTGAGGTCCTGCCCCTGCAAACCTTCAATGGCAGCGTCCATTTCCTCTGCTGTGGAAAAGGACACATCAGCTCGGCGAGGAGCGCCGCGAACCCATCGACGCACAGTGACCACTTTCCCAAACTTCTTCACAGCCTGCAAACTGGGAAAGCCATTTCTATGAAAACATGTAACATACTCAGTAAAAGAACGAGGAAAGCATAACAATCCAAATCTAATACATTGCTATGCTGCTACATCAAACATGCACTCACTTCTGGACCACTGTCAAAGTCCACAAAACTTTTTGAGTTTTGAGCTTGTACTGTCAAAGTCCACAACACTCTATCCCGGAACCTCTTTGAAAGTAGGGTCTGGACCTGTCAACCTTTCTGCTTTCGTTTATATACATATATATATATATATTATGTATATGCTCATTCTGTCTGCTCAGATCTGCCTTCCGCACGGTCTGTCGAGTCGTGTCAAAGCTAAGACCACCGATGGACACCGAATGGATGGTTGGCTCGCCCTCATCGTTGTCAAGAGCAGGGTCCTCATCCCAAACTCTCATTTGCGGTAAGTCACACCTCTCTTGAAATTGAAAAATACAAGTACAGCAACCTTCATGCAAAATGTATGATCCTCAAATTCCTTCTCAATGGTTGTCTCAGCAACCTCAATCTTTGCTTTTTTCTGAGGTTTCTCCTGGCTTGCAGGCATTGGGTCTGGCCACAAATGACTCCAGAACTCAAGCGCCGAAAGCCCCAAAAATTGGACTCCTCGACCTCTTCCTCCTCCTCTTCCGCTTCGACGATTTCTTTTTGCTTCTTGCCCATGCCCTGAAAGCGAAGGCAACCAAGAATGCAGGAGGCGGCAAATACAAAACACTAGTCAAGGAATCATCTTTCAGCTGCTTCAGCTCTTAAACTAGACTCAGACTTTCAATTTGATGCCTTCAAGTCCGCCCAGGGCGGTTTTCTACTACTTTGAGCCAAAAGGGTTTGCGAAAAGAAAGGTCACTTGGCTTGAAAAATTAGGGTTTACCTTGGCGACCCTACAATCGATTGGGCCTGGTCAAGAAGTTTACTATGCATTCAACACCTCTACTCCACCGCATTTTGCAGGTGTCCGAATGCTCATTTTCCCGCTCACCCAGTTTCTGCTCCAGCTTCTCATCTGGATGATCGATCCACATTTCGGTCCATTGACGCCTTGGTCAGTTTTCCGCGTAGGGCCCGGCAGACACATCCGAAAGAATGTTGCATGACCGTTGGGGCCATCTCCTCCAATCATCTGAGTCTGCTAGTTTTGCACCTGCGCAAAGCCTCGGCATCAGTGCCAGGTGCTATCTGCGTGAAGCCTTGATCTTCAGATCCTCATAGGTCGACGCAATGTGTGTCCATCTATCATGCTTTGGCTGAAAGCTGCTATCTTGTCTTACAAGCATCAGCTGCTTTTGAGAGTTTCGCATCCAACCATTGAAGCACCCATTGATGTCCAATTGAAGTTCTTAAATAGTCCTCCCAGCTTCCAGACTCCAAAGCTGTTTTGAAGCCCTCTTCATATACTTGCTTGCACAGCTCGTCCACCAAACACTTTTGTCGCAGCTTTTGTTCGGACTCTGTGATTGTTAGTGCTTTCCAAAGCTCGGCTTTTCGTCGCACGCGCGCCTCCACAAGTGCCTTTAAGGCCTTGTAGTCATCTTGAACTCCATTACCCAGGTCCTTCCGGTCCTTCTGTTTCAAGCCAGACCCCTCTGAAAGGCTTTGTCTCGAGATCTTTTGTTGCCTTTGAGATTTCTTCGCTTCTGCTCGAACCAAATCCCACATCCCGCGGGTCGGCGCTGGAGTTGGAAGATCTTCATCAAAGGTTTCAGACACTGCCACCCCGGACTTCCCAAGAGAGGAGGCCCACTCACGGCGTTGTTCTCTCTCTGCATCAATATCAGCATCAAGTGAGACATGTTTGTTTCTTCTATCATGCTTCACACCTGCAGCCTGGCTTGTGGTGCTTGCCGCTGTGAAAGGTTCACTTGGCTCCACATCTGGTTCAACTGGTTGAAACTCTTCCTTCTTCATGGCTTCTCTTGACACTGGCCGCTTTAGCCTCTCCTGAGCAAGTGATTTAACCCCATGCAGCTCCGACAGGTCCGCCCCTGATTCGCCTCCCTGCTCGGCCTTCGCCGCGCCGGAGTGGGGCTGCAAGGGTTGTGAGCGCTGCTCCAAAATTCCGATGAGGTGAAGTTGGGGTAGTTTTTCGCGTTTCT